ATAGATAGATAGATAGATAGATAGATATAGAGAGAGAGAGAGAGAGAGAGAGAGAGAGAGAGAGAGAGAGAGAGAGAGAGAGAGAGAGAGAGAGACTCTAGTTGAACTGCGAGTCAATTCACAGTTATCGAGGTTGATGTCAGGTCGTGATCTGTTTGGTGACTGACCACGTTTAAGAAGTGGCAGACCACCTTCAAGAAGTGTCAACCTTCACGAAGTGCCAAACAGTCAGCGGCCAGAGGACTCCAGTACTAAAAGCATTCTTAGGGGACCTTGAAGGTCGTGTTCAAAACATATTGGCGTAGCACTAGATGCTCACCAAGCAGTTATGGATGTCGGTTATATCGACACATCATAAGATGCCTTACAAGCAAGCAGCGGCTGGCTGCAGGACCTTCTACCCGGTATGGATCTTTGAGAGCAGAGTTTCACATTCCACCGTGAGATCCACATCGGATAGGTGGACCTGCCATCATATCGCTGTTAGCTGTAATCATCTTGAGGGGGTCGATGAGGTGAGGACTCGACAAAGAAAACTCTTAGGGAACTTTGCTGCCGTGTTTTTGGAACTTATCGGCGTAGCACTAGATGTTCACCAAACAGTTGTGGATGTCGGTCATATCGACACATCATAAGATGCCTTACAAGCAAGCAACTGCTGCTTGCAGGACCTTCTACCCGGTATGGATCTTTGAGGGCAGAGTTTCGCACTCCACCGTGAGATCCACATCGGATAGGCGGACCTGCCATCCTACCGCTGTTGGCTGTAGTCCTCTTGAGAGTCGATGAGGTGAGGACCCGGCAGATAACACTCTTAGGGGACTTTGCTGCCGTGTTTGGAACTTATTGGCGTAGCACTAGATGCTCACCAAGCAGTTCTGGATGTCGATTTTATCGACACATCATATGATGCCTTACAAGCAAACTTTGGTCGGATCCCGTCCCCCATCCCCGACGCGGATCCATGAGAGCAGATTTGACGCAATCCACCGTTAGATCCACATCGGAGAGGCGGAGCGGTCATCCTACCGCTGTTTAGTGTAGTCATCATGTGGGAGTCGACATCGCAAGAACCCGACGATGTTCCAATTGGGACGTGCTCTTGTTTCGTGATGTGCAGGTGCTTACCGGCNATCATGTGGGAGTCGACATCGCAAGAACCCGACGATGTTCCAATTGGGACGTGCTCTTGTTTCGTGATGTGCAGGTGCTTACCGGCGGTGCGTTCGATCACCCTCCTCGACGTGAAGCAAAGTGCGAGGGAATTGCTCAGGGCTCAAACCAGAAGTGCGATTGAACTCGCACTTTGATGGAGAAGCAGTTGCGCAGTCCATCAACGCGACGATTTAATATGGACATTGGCTTGTCATTTGTATATTCCAGGTTGAAAACGCCATCAAATCTTTCTGTGTAGGAGATTCATATCCATTCATACAAGTATCTCTTGTCATTGCAAACATCGAGATGAAAACATCTCAAAGTCAAATTGCAAAGCACACAGAGACATTGCAAACATCGAGGTGAAAACATATCAAGTTGCCTAGTGTTTTTCCAAAGGTGAAGTCTCACAGCACACGAACAGTTTCCAGAAACCATTCAATGCGAAAAATTCATTCAATGGCAAATTGCAAAGTACACAGAGACGTTTCAAAAAAATCATTGAATGCAAAATATCATACAATCCCACATTGCAAAGTGCACGGAGGCTTTCCAAAAATCACAAAGTACATGGACCCAAAGTGCGAATATGTTCGCATTTCTCATATGGAACCAACAGTTCAATCACAAATGTACGACATCCAAAGTGCGAATATGTTCGCATTTCTCATACGGAAACAACARCCAGCATTCCGTGGAGAGCACGAGATGTATTCCGGGGACAACAAAATTGGTAATCATTTAGTGCACCGCTGAATCCGTAAAACAATTTCAAGCACACATACATTCTGGCGACAATTGATTTTCGACTGGAGAACAAGTTCGCAACTGTCATAAGGAACCAACAGACAACATTCAATGGAGACAAGCAGAGGGGGTGAACCGTAAAACGGGGCGGCACACGCAGAACGAGGGCGAGCCAAAACGTATGAAAGCTGGGTGGTCGGGGTGGGGTGGGGGAGAGGGGCTTTCACACCACAAAGTCTCGCGAACGAAAGAGATAAGCACGAAAGAATTTGGCGACCAAGAATAAATCGTCGATATCTTTCAGTAAGAGCATGAGTGCAAAATATTTACAAGAGGATGAAGACGTCCCATGAGTAACAGAGCAGCACAACCTCGAAACGAACAAACGCAGCACGACGCGGCAAACACAGCACGGTGTTGTTGCGGTCTGAAAGTCAGGATATTCACATCCCATATCCAAGCGTCTACTTAAAAGATACTGCACCACGTGGCTGGGATATATACATCGGCATCTAAGATTGTACTTCACGTAAGCGTCCGCTGCAACCCTCTAGCTGATGTTGCGCGGCAAGCAATGAGAACAACCCGAAAACAAACAAAGGCAGCACGGCGCTGCCGAAAGGCGTACGAGTAAAGATGACAGGTTCCTCGAAATGAAGAACCCTTAAAAATTTGCTACAACACGAGGCTGGGATATTCACATCAACAGCTGAGCGTTTACTTGACCAAAATGTCCACTGCAATCCGGTACCTCATCAAAACAACAGCACAGGTCGAACCGGCCGACTGGTAGATCAAGTGGGAATAAATTCGGACTTCTGCTTATGGCATTTCGGAAAAAAAACTACGTGTATTTTAACAACAATGATATCATTCAGCGCCTTGGAGTATGTCCACCGCAATCCTCAGCCGGATGTTTGGAATGTCGCTTTGGTCTATCGAAAATGGTGGCGGACAGCTGCGTGCAAGAAATGAAGCGAAGGCGAGCATGAAAACACCGCAGCTCTACCCGTCCGATTGTTGAGGGACACCACAAACAACCACCTTGGGCTCCTGGAGATCCACTTTCGTTTTTTGACCATAATGACAAACTGCTTCGTCACGGAGGAATTGCGTGAAGTTCGCAATCACATCGGAAGAAAAACCGCCATCGTCTTGTACGAGGGAATCATAGTACTCCAGCCGTTGTTCTCGGAGACACAATAGGGTCCAATGCACTCCATGTTTATGGACAGGAATCAAGACCATCTCGTACGAGAAAATATCCACATCTTTTGTCCATCTCGCAACCCTATCATGTCGATAGCCGCCACGGACGAGCTTGGTATAGAAAAAGGGACTGAAAATGTAAAGAGAGGGACACCCAGGCAACGCAGTGTTGGCAAGCAAGGCCAAGTACGACTCCACCATCTCGTCGGAAAGCCATTCCCCTTGAACAAGAGTTTGATGACTTTTTCTGCTCAACGGAATTGAACTGACCTCTTTGCGAACCTAGGATACCACCCCGTGGCCGTTGCTGAAATCTCCACAGACGTTCCGCAACATTCTCAAGTCCGTAGCGCTAAGCTCCTCGGTAGGCAACGGAACGCGAAAACATGATGTAGCCCCAGCTGCACAAACACCCACAAACAAGTGTGAGGAGTGATCAAAATCACCGGGGCGAAATGGCTAAGGACCGTCTGTCCTTTTCCCAGAAAAGTTGTATCCCCGACTGTTGAATGTGTCCTTGGCGATGTACTTAAGACACGGGTCTTTCAAGACACCCCGTTTGGCATCGTCATCAGACCCATCAGACAAAGCAGTAATACTTTCAATAGACGCAGCCAAATATTTCCGCAAACCTTCCTCCTTATCTATTCCACAAGCCTTCAGAACCTTGATAGCTCCCTGGGAAAGGCGAGGCATCCAGACCCTTTTAAATAACCCTACACTTAACGACTTCTTCGGTAAAGCGGCCAATGACCTCCCTCAAAGACATTTCCCCTCACGGCTTTTACAGGCTTCATGGGAAGGGACATTCACAACCTCACACCTGTAGAACATAGAAAACAACCCACAGCCCACAAGCTTTTTTTTAACAAGTGGTAAAAGGTACATTAGCCCATAACATCAATTTGGACGAACACAAAGCTGGCTAGTGACAGATATGCGAGTGCTCCTATTCACAAATCTTACCATGCTCGGGAACCCTTTGAGGAAACTCGCCCTCCTGTTGCGCCACTGCGCCAACGTCCACGGACGATTCGAGGTTTTGCACCTCGGTCACGGCTGTGTAGCTAACCAGCTCGGTGGCAGCTGAGTCGCATAGCAAGTCGATGGCTTCATGAAGCACCATTTCCCGGCCGGTACTGAGGACAGATGCTCGATCAACCTGTTCTGCACCGCAACGGGTGGACGGAGAATCATGATCTTTCCGCTCTGGATCCATCTTGATGCTGACGGCCACCTCACCGCCTTCCACGGAGGATCCGACGTTCTGCATCTCGGCCACGCCTTAGTCGCTAACCAGCCGGTGGCAGCCGCGTTGTCACCCAATTCTATGGCTTCATGAAGCACCATTCCCCGAGGCGGTGCTTAGGATAGACGCTTGACCACCCTGTTCTTCACCGCAACGGGTGGGCGAAGAATCACCATCTTTCCGTTGTGGATCCCTCTGAATGTCGACAGTCACCTCACCGCCTTCCACCACGGGTTCTCTGCCTTTCTCATCGCCACGAACCCGAGCTTCCACCGCGGGTTCTTTTTCGTCTTCATCGTCGCCAAGAACAGGAGCTTGCACGAACGTCCACTGACCTCCCTTAACGACACCCTCTCGCGTCGTGGCCACAGCCGACCAACTGTGCAGAACCTCTTCGGACGTCCCGATCACCAGCACTCGTGCGTGGAGCCCCTTCACGTTTTCCCGAGCCGGCATCCTTCGTGACTCCTCTCCCCGCTGTAGAGCATGCGTTTCCCCCGGAGCTCCTGCACTCTCGCTGTCAGTGTCCACAGACGCACCCTCCGAAGCATGACGTTCACAATCGCTACCCCCGGTCTCCAACACTTTGCGAGACTGCCAGCGTTGAGTCTTCTCTTCCCGATGTACAGCACGCGTTCCCTGAGAGCGCTCCTCTTCCCCAGGAGTATGACGTTCGTACTCGCCACCCCCGGTGTCCAACATTCTTGCAGCGGCCCCTCCAGCACGTCGTGAGACCGCCAGTCTCGAGTCTCAACACATGAGAACGGAGGCGAGCAGGGTAACCCTGTGTCCAACTGAAGATGCGGGGGGCAGGACGTCACATTTTCTTGGCCCTGCGGAACTGTTGCGTGAGGAACACTTATGGCAGAGGGCGATGTCAGCAAATCCGAATGTATTCGGAGTTTGTGGCGGTCTCCCGAGCTGAGGGAACCGAAGGTCGCACCTTCGCTCCTTCGCAATGGAGGCATCCCACCCTCCAGGCAAAACGAAGACGCACCCTCTTTCAGGAGCAAGGTGTTGAGCACAGGAGACCTCTGCTGCGCACGACGGAATGGACTCTCCTCGGCAACGGGAAACAAAGTCCTCGCAGACAAGTGCGAATCTACTCGCACTTGATCAGACCTCAGGGTGGTCTCGTCTCGCATGTCGGAATCTCGACTCCCTACGCAGTGGGGGTCAGTTTCCATATACTGGGGACTCCCGGACGTTCTACGCTTCCCGCCCGACCCCTTCCCGCCCGATCCCTTTCCGCCCGAGTCCTTTTCGCCTGACCCCTTTCCGCCGAACGCCTTCTCTACCGACTATGTCTCGCCCGGCCCCTTTCCGGCAAACTATGAGCCGTCTCCTCCGCCACCCCCGCCGTCTCCTTCGTCTCCTCCTCCACCCCCTCCCGGATGCTGACCGCCCGATGGAGGTTGCGGCATGCGCCAGTCAATGCCACGAGACGGTGCCGTTTCAAGTGTGTAGAAAGGCGCTCGAAACTCCAACATGTTGTTGGCGTACAACTCATTTAGCTTTTGTTCTGCATACGCAACGACGTCCGGATTGTTCCTCTCGGGGTTCATAAGACTCAAATGCTCCACCACAGCATGTCTCGCCGTTCTCTTAAATGCATCCGCTCCCGTTCTCTTCAGTGCACTCCACTTGCCATCGGCCTCGTTCATTGTCATGACCCACATTCCATTCTTCACAACAGGTTGGAATATCCTCGGGTGCAAGACGACGTTGTGTCCCCAGACATCCTCCGCCGTGAACTGGTGATGCTTGCCGAAGAAGTAGAGTCTGTCATTCTTCCAGGTGTCGTGGTCCTCAGGGAGAATGTCACAAGGTTCGTGATCATAGTCTCTCGCTTTGTCCCCGTCATCAGACGATTGGTCGTCGACTGGTTCGCCCCAAAACACACGCTTCAAACCGGCAGGGGACGTGCTATATCTCCGAGGGCCACCTTCCTCTTCATCACCAACCTGTCCAACCACCCGAGGAAGTGGCATGGACTCGAAATCGAAGGTTTCGGAGTCGCTCAGCTCCTCCATGTCTTCAGCGTCGAAAGGGTCCTCCTCGTCAAACTGTGACTTGTAGTTTTCCAGGGTGAGCGGTTCGGCCAGCGTGAAGTAAATGTGCTCCAGCCTTCTCAGGAAATGCGAGACAGACTCCCTGGGTGCATCGTGGTACCCATTGAGCACACCGAACACCAGGTTTCTCCGTCGACTGTATTCGAGGTCGGTCGGACCAGGCAGTCCGGGTCGGAAAAGGAAGTCCCAAACCTCCGTCCTTTTGTTCCCCGGCAATTTCCAATACACGTCACGTTTGGGATCCCAGTTTCGTTCGCCGGTGGTCTGGACAAACTCGCAAGCATTGCAAGTGTCTGCAACGCGTGTCTTTACGAACTCGTGAAGGTAATCGATCATCTTTGCCTCCTTCTCCAACGCGACAACGTTCCGACCGGTGCGCAGAAGTTCCCAGACGATAGACGCATGCGCCTTCCCAAAGAAAAAAACAGTTTGCCCAGCTTTGCAAATGTCACGCCATCGTCCTCCCACATGCTACGAGAGAACCTTTCCTCTTCCGGCACGTCGAAACACGCCACAGCCTGTCCTGATGGGTCGGACGAACAGACAACTTTCGAGTAGGCCGCCACCACGTGTTTGGCCGGACTGGGACCATGAGCACGGGAAGCCTTTGTCGGGCTACTGACCGCGTAGACTGCGAATGTGTTGTCTTCCAGCTTCTCGCCATTAAAAATCACGTACAGGCGGTCACACTCCTCAACCAGCATATTGCCTTCCCGGACAGTGGCCAGCTTTTGTGCATTGCGCACACACTTCCCTGTCCTGACGTGATGGACGCTAAGCCTGACCATGCCTTTCAAGAAACTGAGCTCCCAACGAGAGGGGAAAAAAATCACAAGTGCCCAGTGCGGTGGCGAAAGTGTTTGGAGAACGCCTTGCAAGTTGGCGAAATCGTCTTCTCGCCAGTATATGAGGAGTGTGGGATCACACAAATCGAGGACGTACAGGTTGCACACGTAATGTCGCACAACCTCACGGATCGCAGTGACATGACTGTGAGCTTGGGAAGGCGGGAAAGCGAAAGGAATAAGGCTAGTCAACCCGGTTGAGGTCGGGCCATTTGATTGGCCTCACATCCCCGCTGACCCTGATCGTATCTCGAACTTCTTCTTCTGTCCATCGCAAGATGGAACGGACAGACTTTTCGAAAGATTTAGGGAACCTGTCTTCCTCGTACAATTTCTTTGCGTCGTTGAGGGACTCCTTCTCGTGCGGAAGAGTACGTTTGCAAGTGTTCATGTACTCCACCGCGCCTTGGAAATGCTTTCACATTTCGAACCACACCTGTTTCGTGAGGCCCAGCGGCCCGAACTCCTTTGGAAGTCGCCCCTCGGTCCGGAAAAAAAGGGCTCCCGTAGCGCCAAACATGTTCGTCCTCCTCCATTTCAAGGAACAAGATGTAGTGGAACGTACGGAGCATCACACGGTCCACTTTCGTCGTCGCGACTATGTTTTTAATTCCAGGTTTATGCTGACGCTTCAGATGCCCGCCCGCGGATTGCACGAACACTCCCCTTAGTGCGAGAATGTCGTCGAGGATCGATAGTTTCTCGACATCGGTCATGTCGGCAAGACACTGCCAACAGAACATGTCAGGCTCCTTCACGACCACGAAAAACTTATCGTCCGCTTGCGTTTTCTTTTTGGTCGAAGGCGCCGGGACCTGGACCAGTCACGCCATCTTTGTTTCACCAGCCGCCTCTTTCAAGCCAATTTTCGGAATTGCTTGCAGACCCGGAGATTTGTTTGGCATGTATTTGCCCGGCCTCGACAATGGCGTCTTGCCGTCGCCGCCCAACAACTTCCCCTCCGCCCATTTCGCGTAGAACTCCATGGCTTTGCGAAAAACGTCATCACCGGCCGTCACGAGCGGCATCCACTGCCTCAATGCATTGCCAACGGCAGCGACATACTCCTTGTCGGCGAGCGACAAATCGTTTTTTGCCAACGCCCAGTGAGCTTCGTTCGGACTCTTTCCCAAAAGTAGCTTTTGGAATTTGAAGAACGCTCGTTTTTCGGCCTCCTTGCTGGAAGGGTTCCCTTGAATGGCCATCGACCTTCCTTCATTCTCCCATGCCTCCCGCATGTCCAAGAACGCGGCCTTCTGCGATCGCTGCTTAGACATGTTGTGTCTCGTGTTCTCGTTGAGACTGACCTGCTCTACCCTGCGAAATCTCGGTCGGAGAACCACACTACTCTCGCCGGCCACGAGTGCATCTTCCACAAATCAAATATTGGCTCACCCTCCAACTCCTTCACAGCAGCCACGGTGTGTTGTCCGTTAACAGGGTAATAGTAGTACTTGTCCTTGTCCTCTGGCTTGAAGACATCTTTGTGAACCCTGTCAGCTTTCTCCGGCCTACGCGTCACCGGCTTGAAGATGGGTGCCAAAACCAGAGGGTTTTTCGTCCAGATCTTCCCCTTTTTCTCGCGGAATTGACTCAGCATCGCATCCTTGATGCCGTCCACAGTTTCGCGATTTAGACTGCGGTGGTTGTAATATCTTTCCCAAGGCGGGATGTCGCAGACCTTCCTGGGGTCGATGAGCACTTGGACGGGGAACTCCTTCTTCACGATTTCACCTCTATCGTTCCGCTCGTATTCGAGCCAGAACGCTGCCGCTTCGTCGCACTCCTCACCGACAGGCCCTTCGCCACCGCTCGTCGCCTCAGCAGTCTTCCGCCTTCAAGGTTTCTTCAGGCCATCGCCTTCTTCATCTGCCACTTTCCGTTTCGATTTCCCCGAAGGTTCTTTCGCGGCCGCAGCGCCTAGATTAGCCGAATTTCCTCCACCCATGGCTTGTCCTTTGCGGATGGTCAAACCGCCGGGCCTCCTCGCTTTCTTACTTGCCGTCTCACCCTCTTCCTTCGACGGCCTCTTTCCCGAGGCACGTTCTCCGACGTCACCTCCATCCCCGCCCATCACCGCCTCTGATTTTCGTCTCATCCTCTTTATGTGGAGGGTTCCCTCCGCCACCTCCTCTCGCGCCATCCTCTGTCGCTCGCGCTTCTTCTCCGAAGGAGTCGGCTCCCCGCCAGAGCTTTCGTGGACAGCGCCCATCCCTTCAGCCTCATTCCCTCCGACATCTTGCCCTGATCTGCCGGATTCTCTTCTCGTCTCATCTCGAAGGGAATACGTGTTGTCGCCGCAGTGGACCTTGAGGAGCTTCGGAGTAACGACCCTTTGAGTCCCTGTACCCTGAGAATGCAAGTCCGATGTGTTCCCAAGAGCATCCGGGCCGACCTGCGTGCAAACGCTGCGCGCGAGCCCCTTGACCCGACCCCCAGCGTCGTGAATCGCACTCCTGCGCCCCACTGTCGTCCCTGGAGTTTCTTAAGCCAAGCCAGACGACCCCTCATGGTGTGGCAGAAGCCTAAAAACATGTTCTCGCGGAAGAACCGAACGTTCTTTGGGCACCATCATCGCGAGATCGAGATATTGCTCTGGCGATGGAAGACGCTTGCTGCCGCCATCGTAAAGGCCTTTGAAGTGAGAGCACAACGTCATGTTCGAGCCGTACCCCGCGAAACACTTGATGGTCACCAGCACACCCTTAACACCTCTAAGAGGCAGTCTGCACTCGTCGTACAAGCCGTTAGTTTGCAGCTTGAGCAAACCTCCAGGAGTCTTGGCGCACGACACGATCGTACCGAGAGGAAGAACGTTGACCGCTCCCCCAGCGTCTGGAACGCAAGTGGGTGGCATGAAAACAGCTGGCCCAAAAAGGTCCCCCTGAACAACGAAGTCCAAAAACCATTGTGCTCCCATTGCGTGCATATACTGAGGAGTAGATTGCTGAAGAGGTCGTCCCTCCCCGGAGGCAGATGGTCCAGCGCTTGTGGATGTGTTCTTTGCAGACGCCATTGTACTCCCACCCGTTGACTAACACGCCCAACCTCGGACCAACTCGGATGACTAACACGCCCAACCTCAGACCACTACAGAAGCGAAGTGCGAACTAACTCGGACTTAATGAAATGGAGGACGAAAATGACGTAAGAGATGGGTGTTCGAAATGCACACGAAGTCACAACAATCGGGTGAAGGATAGGAAAGACAGCAGTCCTCTGGCAGAGTGAGTTCGGAAGGAAGACAACAGCTCCACGGAAAGAGTGCGAACGAGCTCGCTGTCGTAGAATCAAGGAAGAGTTGATTTATCTTCAGGAAAGTGCGAACTAACTCGGAGTTTTGGGAATGAAGTCGTCTACAACAAGTACCGCATGGGTATCGACAAGGGGGAACCGACGTGCTGTTCTGGGCTGAAGGAAACCGAAGAATGATATTGGTGTTTGAAATGCAAACGAACACAAAACAATTGGGTGGCTGGCAGAGTGAGCTCGGAGGGAAGACGACAACTCTTCGGAAAGATTGCGACCCGACTCGCTGCCCTTGAAACGAGTAAGATGTGGTTTATTGACAAGTGCGAAGGGTGTCAACAAGTGCGAACTAACTCGCAGTTCTGTAGACAAGACAACAATGGCAACCCGCAGTACTAGGGGAAAGTGCGAACTAACTCGAAATTGTGGAACTGAAGACCTGAAAGACGCACGAAACAAGTAAGATGTGGTTTATCGACAAGTGCGAAGGGTGTCGACAAGTGCGAACTAACTCGCAGTTCTACAGACAGGACAACAATTGCAACCCGAAGTACAAGAGGAAAGTACGAACTAACTCGGAATTGTGGAACTGAAGACCTAAAAGCCGCACGGGATGGGTTATCAACTCCTCCAGCACTGTTGCTCAAAAAGTGTGAACTGACTCGCATTTGTGGAAATAAAGAACGACCTTTAATTAAATATGTGTCTAACCTTGGGACAGCTGCGAATTAACTCGCAGTTGTCACTCCTCAAACAATGTACGTCGCAAACTGGGAACTGACTCGCAATATATCTCTCTATATTTATGTATCTATATCTAGTATATCTATGTATATAGATATCAGGTCGGCGACCTCACAAGGGACACGTGAGCGAAAATCGGGAAAGGATTCGGTGTTCAGTGTAAAAACTAGGTATTGATTCGGGGTTCGCCATGCACAGTGACGACTACAAGTTGCGAAGGGGATCGAGCAGCTTTATTCAAACATTATCGTGGCTATGGCGAAAGGTAATGGAGCTGCGGAACGCGGATCGGCTATGGCGAAAGGTAATGGAGCTGCGGAACGCGGATCGGCTATGGCGGACGGAGGTGGAGGGTGGARAAAAGACATCAGAACACGTCCACTGGCGAAACAACAAAACCGAGAATCGATTCGGGGTTCAACAGCACACGGTTGCGGCGTTATATCCTGCGGGTAGAGACAGGGCATCTGGGAATCTGTTCGAACATCGGACACAAAATGGGACAACTGAAGTTATATAATTTTACCTTC